GTATGGTAAATGTATGTTTAAGATGACAGAAACTGCCAAACTTTCAATAGTGACTGAACATTCTGCTTTCCAATTTCATTCTCATTTTGCATTTTATTAAGCTGTAAGATACAGGCTCTTTATCAGATGGATGGACGGTTGGTCACAGCTTCAGAATGTCAACAAAAACAAATTCTCGATCGACAATGACAGCTCTCACACACACATGTGATTGGCGCCAGTGAGAGCTTTATATGTATCACGCATGCGCGAGTCAACATTTATTTTTAAATTGCCAGTGCGCATTATATATACCGGCCAATCGGTCAGCCGGTTGGACAGACGTACGATCGATCACTTAGACTTTTATATATATAGATTGAAACCACTCTATTCACTCTCCAAGTCTTAGGAATACCTAAATTGTAGCAGGTTAAGTTTCTAATAAACTCTGGGTAAATCCATTTTTTAACGTTATAAAAGACTTTTTTTTAATTGCCCAAGAGGTTTTTCCTTGTACAAAAACACCATCATTTTGCAAGTCATACAAAAATACAGTATTAAAACAAAAAATCCCAGCTGGTGTGGGTCAGTCAATGGCTGAACATTGACCCATAAACAAGGAGGTCGAAGTTCGATTCCCATGTCAGGACAAATGCCCGGTTTTGTGTTCAATCCTCAGTAGAGGGGCATGCAGGAGACAGCTGATCAGTGATTCTCTCTCATCATTGATGATTCTGTCTCTCCTCTCTCTTCCTTTCTGTAATCAATAAAAATATATTTTTAAAAAAAGACTGCTCCCAGTATAATAACCAGTAGCAGCTTATAAAACACAAGCTATCCAGGTGAGACATCAGTAACCTACTTCCCACCAGTTCTCCAAAGACAGTCCCAGAAAAATAATCTTTAAACGAAATCTGCAACAAATCTTGTTAGAAGGTAAATTTCCTCAATTAAACTATTTTCAAACTATAGAAAAAAATTAAATAGGGTCTTTTTCAAGCATAACACAATAATACACAATGTATTATTTCCTATCATCTTTCATTCCATTTTCCTTCTTTCTTTTCTTTCATGCACTTTCTTTTTTTCCTCAGTCACTTTGGATGGTATAGAATCCAAAATTCTTCACTAATTTCTTCTTTCTGACCACTTTCTTCTTCCAAGTTTTTGAACAATCTCAGATTGTTCAAAGTGGGTCTATGGGAAACTAAGTTCAAACTCTAAACATTCCTCTACTAGAGCACAAGCAATCCAATCAATGATGAAGAAAAATAGATCAGCCATTAGTCTGCTCAGGCTGTCGTAACAAGATACCAGAAACTAGAAGGCTTAAACAGAAATTTATTTTCTCAGAGTTCTGGAAGCTGTAAGTCCCAGGGCAAGATCGAGCAGGGCTGGTTCATGGTAAGAACCCTACCTATTCCTGGCTTTAGACAGCCATCTTATTGCTATGTCCTCAGTGGGTGGAGAAAGCAATCCAGGGAGCTCTCTGGTGTCTCTTCTTATGAGGACACATACTAACAGATCAGGGTTCCACCCTATGACTTCATTTAACCTTACATATTGTCCTTGGGATTTGGGCTTCAACATATACATTTGGATGGCGGTGGGGAGTAAAATTCAGTCCATAGCAATTAGAAAGAAATGAATCAGAGGCCATTTTTGTCCCTAATCAGAGAAAGGAAGGAGCAGAGAAAGGAGATGTGGAAGTTCGTGGACAACTACAGAGTTAGAGGGCACAGTCCACACAAGAGACTACCCCCACTTCTAACACCAATTGCAAGTTCAGAGGCTTCCTAAAGTCCCCTAAGGTTCAAGAATTCCCTAGAATTATTATCAGATAATAAACTATTATTACTTTATTATTAAAGACTCAATGAGCTCACTGAAAACTGTTATACTCATGGTTATGGTTTATTACAGGGAAAGGATAAAGATTTACACTGGGGAAGAGAAGCACATAGGACAGAGCTCAGGAGAGCACCAAACATGGAGTTTCTGATGTCCTCTCCCTGTAGACTCACGGACATGCTACTCTGCCCATATCTACCAGTATGTCTGACAATGTACATGGAGTATTATTGCCAACCAGAAAAGCTAACAGGAGACATGGTGTTCAGAGTTTTAGTGGGGCTCCATGGAGGCATGATTGGCTACATGGTTGATCTAGGTTTCCAGGTCCACTGATATCATGTGACCCAAGCCCCCACCCTAAGTCATGTAGTTAGTATTTCTGGCATAGGCAGTCTCCATCCTAAGACTACAGGAGAATGGCTAATCCCACCCTAAACCACACTGTTGTACAACGTGACCCAAGACCCCCAGGCAAACATTCCTGGAAGTGCTGTAGGCAGTTAGACAGACACAGCAGAACAAGACTACAGGTCAGGTACAGAAGGTCACCAGGGTGAAAAGCCCCAGGTGCCTAACAATGGACAATCAACTGTAGGGTTGGACCTAACTCCCAGGGTGACTCTTCCCCCTCTAGCATATCACTGGTCATGCAGTTTGGACCCCATAACCTTTCCTCCCTAGAAATAACATCTATGTCTCAGTTGTATTTCAGCTCCAGGCCCAGAGAAGCAACAAACCAACCACTGCTGACGTCAGGACCAGCTGCATTGAATAAAGCTCTGGTGCCGGCCAATCAATCAATGGAGACCACAATCCTGAAAGGACACACCTGGAAAACTGCTGAATATTCTATGAAGATCTTTCCCTGGGACCTTCCCTAAAATCTCACCCTTAAAACCCTTAGGACGAAGGTCCCAGTGCACTCTCCCTCATGGGAGCATGCCCCTGTCTTTCCCTTCCTTCTCCCTCTCCCCCAAGCACTTTACCATTAGCTTCCCCACTCCCTAGCTCTAAGGGCCCTTCCTTTATCTCTATAACTTGTTTCCTAAGCCCATTTCCTCTAGGAATAACTTTTTCTAGCTCTGTAATTTACCCAATAAATGTTCTCTTACAGTTGGGTCTTGTTCTGAATTCTTTACTAGCCAGAACCCAAGTACTGAGGTCACTGAAACCAGGTTTGGTCGGACCCCTCTGGTCAGACACCTGGTGTCGTTCCCACCACCTACAACAGAAGTACTGCAATACCAGGTCGATGTGTGGAGTGGACGAAACAAGCTCCTACCATCTCCTAATACCAAAAATCCATTTAATATACTGTCTTCGGATAGAGGGTGTATCCAATATTAAACTGGTAAGAACAGATACTACACTTGATCTTAGCCAAAAGGCTGAGGAGCAATAACTAACTGATCCTTAAGTTCTCAATTTAAGCATTATTTTCTCGAGAAAGCCTTTATATAACCCCAAGCAAGGCATTGTGCCTCTCCCAACATACTTCTATCATAATACAACATATTTTGTTAAAGTCTTACCTTTATAGCAGACATGCCAACCAGCATGCAAGATCTCAAGTGTGTCTTATGATTAGATATCCATCTCTTACTGATTCTAGTTAACTGAGACCCTAATTAACTCTTGCTCTGTTTTCCTTCCCTCATACTTCGGTTTAGAGCTTGGGCCTTTGCCTGTTTATCCCCCCTCCTCCCTACCTCTTTTGAGACCAAAGTCCTATCCCTGTTGAGCTAATCCCTACTGACAGACTACCTTTCTTTGCCACCTGAACTTGCCCAATGTTCTTCACTGATCCTTCCGACCCATCCCCCAACCAATTCCTGGATATGACCACGTAAGATAAGTACCCCAACTACATTAGAGGGTGTTAAGCCAAATGGATCAAGATGATTAATTTCCAAACTTCTGGAGTTAGAACCAGAATCATTTATATAGTATAGACAAAAACAATGATATGCAGAAGACTAGGGTAATTCAAATCAAATGAGCATCTCACCCATCAATTAATCAAATTTTTCACATTTTTTAAATGCCCCACCTTGAAATATAATCTTGCTCACAATGTTAGTTTGTTCCATGTTCTAAACAAGACACAGAAAACTAAGCTATGCTTTGTACATTAAAAAGATATCACTCACACTCCTTCATTACCTTGGATATTAATTCTGAATTGTTTTTTAAATACTAGTAGAGGTAGTATATCTGTTGAACCACATATAGTATCTTTCCAACTGCTTTCTTATACCAAATCATATATGAAAGCAGCACAGCTCTGCTGTCTGTAACCTTCTTTGACTTAGCTGTGAAATTTTGAGCAAGTCAGTCATTTGACACCTCATCTGTAGCAAATTAATCAATTTTAATTTGCAAAAGAATGATAAGCAAAATTATGGTTCAATTTTTCATTCATTAAATTAAAGCACAATAATCAATTTAAATGAGCTTCATAGCTGAAATAGCCCAAGAATGTTTAATAGATGATGATAGTGTACAAAACATTCAATTATTTAAAAAAAGATATGTCACCTTTAACTAATGGGCCATTAGCCATTAAAAAATCCCTTTCTTTCTTAAACAGATAATCTAAAATGTTTTTTCAAAATGCTGGACAATGTTGAATTACACATTACTCATTGAATTACTCAATTAAGACTCATTACTTTAGGGATAGAAATTATGTGACACCTGGTCTGAAAAACTTATAGTCGGACTATACAGACTGCACACCTCCCAAACACTGACTGTTGAACCAAATGGACTGATGTACATTACTCGATGTACAATCGGTCTTACTGAATTACTCAAGGTCAAGTGACTGACTTCAGAACCACAGGCTGAGATGTAGCTGGGATTTTCACTCCCTCACCCTATCCCACAATCCATTACAATCTGTGGAGCCACATTACTTTCTGTCACTGTGTTGCTGGGTCCTCTCACCTTTACTGTCAGTTCTGGTGCTTACCATCCATTACTATTACTGATCTCTGACTCTCTCCATCTAGCCACATCCAAATGCTATACTGCTATCCAACATTTCTTTTCTCTGTTTCTTCATCATTTTTGTCTCTTCTGTTTCCTGCTCTTCTCAGCTACTAGACAAAAGAGAGCTACTTCACAGGCACAGTAAGCCAATCAATACACTCCTTTCCTTCTAATGAAAAAGAAAAAAATCAAATTATGTCAGAATGATCTCTGGCTTTTCTAAAGCATTTCCATCACAATCTGATACTCAAAGGTTCATTCATTTTTACAAAAGATGTGATAGTTTCTTTTATTTCTAAGTTTGAAGTTACTGCAGATACCTTTTCTAGACACTGAAGCTTTTACATGATAGTATTTTAGGGTTAAAAAAAGCAACAGAAGAGCAACAAGAAGACATAGTGGCTGCCTTTTTAACTCTTAAAAGATTTATCAAAAAAAAAATCTCCAAGAATTTCTATGAAAATCAGATCTTAAAACAAATGGATAGTACTCCAAATGGATATATATATATATCCCCAAAGCATATAAAAAGATCCTTAACATCACCAATCATTAGGAAAATGCAAATCAAGAGCACAGGAGATACAACTTCATACCCATTAGGCTGGTTATTACCAAAAAACAGAAATTCTATTTGGAGAGGATGTGAAGTGTTGTTGAGGAGGGGAGAAATTGAAACCTCTGTGTTTTGCTGAAGGAAATATAAAATAATCTAGCCACTGTGGATAATGTACGGCAATTCCTAAAGAATTAAACATAGAATTACCATATGATCTAGTAATTCCACTGCTGGGAATATACCTAAAATAAATGAAAGTAGATTCGCATAGCCATGATCATAGCAGCATCATTCATAGTAACCAAAGGTGTGAGCAACACAAGAAACCACAAACAAATGAAGGGATAAACAAAATGTGGAATATACATACAATGGAATATTATTCAGCCTAAGGATATTTTAAATTAACGCATGCTACAACATGGATAAACCTCGAAGGCATTGTGCTAAGTGAAATAAGTCAGTTACAAAAGGGCAAATCTTGTATGATTCCACATATATGAGGCACCTAGAGTACAGACAAAATTCGCAGAAACAAAAGTAGATTGGGGGTTGCTAGGGTTGAGGGAAGGGCGGTAATGGGAGTTAATGTTTAAAGGGTACCGATTTTTAGTTGAGGAAGATGAAAAGTTCTGAAGATGGATGATAATGATGTTTGTATATCAGTGTGAATGTACTTAATGCCATTGAAATGTACAGTCAAAAATAGTTACAATAGCAAAAGTTGTTAAGTATACTTTACCACAATAAAAAAAATGAATAAAGTTGAAATAGAGCAGAGAAGTACTTGCTACTTAGTTACCCATGGCTATTATGCAAACCCAATCTGACTTTAAAACAGCACAAGTTATGTACAATGAGTAAATGGTTCTTGACTTTGTTGGTGCTGTTGGAAACATCTCTACATAACTAAGAATGTCAGATTCTCCTCATGGAGGTCAGCTTGGGAAAGCTGAGAAAAATAGGCTGTCCATAAATAAGATTGCTCATGCACACACCAAACCACTAAATAAATATTTGTTCGCAAGATTTTTGCACCTTAATGCCTCCATTCCTACATCCTTGCTACTCCAAGATAGACCAAACGTTCTCTTGCCTCCAAGCCTTTTGTTAGCCTAAAACAGTGGTCGGCAAACCGCGGCTCGCGAGCCACATGTGGCTCTTCGGCCCCTTGAGTGTGGCTCTTCCACAAAATACCACGTGCGGGCACGCACTATGGTGCGATTGAAACTTCATAGCCCATGCACGGAAGTCGGTTTTCCGAAAGGAGATAGATGAAACAAGTCGAGTGTGGATGGGAGAGTTGGAAGGGGTCAACCTCAGCGAACGTACCTCAATCAGATTGAGGACGTTTTTAGCAAAGGCCAGCTTAGGAGCACCCTAATTAAGTTAATAACAATGTACCTACCTATATAGTTTAAGTTTAAAAAATTTGGCTCTCAAAAGAAATTTCAATCGTTGTACTGTTGATATTTGGCTCTGTTGACTAATGAGTTTGCTGACCACTGGCCTAAAACAACTGTCCCCCACTCACTTCATTTAGATCTCTTCTCAAATAAATGTCCCCTTATCAGAGAGGCTGAGCTTGATCACCCTATCTAAAATATTCTCTCTCCCCTTACCGAGCTTTGTTTTTCTTCATAGCTCTTATCACTACTTGAGATATATATGCTTGTTAATTTTCTTTCTTCATCCACTACAGTAAAACCTCAATATAACGAAAGGACTAATTTGGGTGAGGGGGTGTCTGTTAAAGCCAAAAGTCCCTTATGTAATAAAGTAGTTTTTCCGAATGCATGTATTAAGAAATTGACCAACTAATTTACCTGTTTTTACTTATGTAGACACATTTGTGTGATTAAAATTAAGTAATGTATGAAAAGTTTAATTTCACAGAAAAGTTTTCTATATGTATTACTGTTATTTTAAATTTATACTGAATAGGTCTAGTAAATGCTTGCATTCACCAGTCACTGGGAGTAAACAAATACACACGGTTGGGGCGTGGCTTAGCCCACGTGTTAAAACTGATTTAGAAAGTCACACCACAGGACAACAGAACCAATTACCACACAGGATGCAGTGTGATCACGTGGTAATCATTTGCCGAATATTGTTTACGAGAGGTGATTATTAGATTTCACTATGTAGTCTATAGTTGTAGACATGGAATAGTCATTTGTCTGTGAAATAACTACAGTGTTTTTTTCCAACATATGGCCTATTCTGTTAAATTTGTTAAAAATAACGGTGATTAATAACAAAAAAAAATAACCTATTACTTTCATTATAAGCAAATCTTGGCTAAAAGCATTTTGAAATTAACAGGGTGCTAATTTTCACATAGGACATACGGAAATTTTGTCCGTTAAATCGAGGTCCACAAAATGGAGGATTTACTGTACAACGTAACTTCAGAAGCATAAGGACTTTCTTGGCCGGGATGGTATTCCCAGCACCTGGAACACTGCCTGGCACATTGAAGGTAGCCGATAAATAGCTGTTAAATGAATAGATGGGTGTTCACAGCTTCGCAGAGCACATTCCCTCTTGGCCTCGGCACCATCTACCAGTCTTGCAGCGTTCACTGCCTCGGAGCCATCCACAGCATCCATCCCTCTTCAGGCTTCACTCGTGAAGTGGTAGGAACACCTACTTTACCAGTCAGAAGCCTGGTACCAGCAGTGACAGTACCATCTTCATTAAGCTCTTCACACAGTGCTCTCTGACTCAGTTTCTAAATACGCTAAATGAATACAGTACATCTATCCCTCATAATGCTGGATAAAGGACAAAAAATAAAGAATGTAGCTCTAACCCTGCTTTAAGACAAAATGATACTAATGTACTGCACAGCAAGCATCACATTGCACGTATTCTGATAAAAGTTACAAGGCACTTGATAGTCTGAAAACCACCAAATTTTCCCTTTACAAGTTTTCAGAGTATTGGAGTGAATGGACAAATGCAACAAAGTAGGCTGTCAATAAATATAGTCAAAAAATTAGGTAACGAGTGACTTGGCCCAACAGACACACACTGGAGCACTGCACAGACTGCTTCCTAAATACACCTAACTTTATTTCCAAGCCGGACGTGTCCAGCTAAGTGAAATTCAGCCCCGTTCACTGTCCCACCAGCGTCCACGCGTGTGGCAACTTTGGAGAACATTTTATAACCGCACTTCAACCTTCTGTCTGCAAGAAATGACTCTTGGTAAAGTTTTGGCAGTTGATAATTCCTGTAGAAAAAAAATAATCTTTAACCAGAGAACCTCGGTATCTCCCCATGTGAGGAAGCCTGGGAGTACAGGTTACACCTGGGGCTCCCAGCACCCCCGCGTCCGGGTGTAAGTAGTCACTGAGGGACACACGGGCCCCGCCCCGCCAGGGAGGCGGGAGCTGCCCGTCAGCGGGCCAGGCCCGAGGACGGAGGCGTCCGCACAAAACGCGCCGCGGCGCTAGGGTACCTCCGGCCCGGGGCCAGCAACCCGCACCCGAGAAGGACCAAGCCAGCCCCCGACTCTGACGCCGGCCCTGGCCTGCCGGGGGCTCGCGTCCCCGCAGACGGAGGTCCTACCTGAGCTCTGCCCGCGGCTGCGGGGCTGCGAGGGGAGGCGGGAGGAGGCGTGGCCTTCCAGCGCGCCCTGGCGAACTCCCTCGTGCGGCCCGAGTGACTTTCTCTCTCGGGATCCGCGCCCCGAACAAGTTCAAGTTGCACTTCCGGGGTCCGCGAGAGGCTGGAGCGTCATCACGCACGCGACCGCGCCAAGTCCGGAAATGGGCGGGGCGTGGTCGCTGGCCGGGTTCCTGTGGCGCTGGGTGGGCTGGGAGGGAGTCCTGGGGAGGCGAGCGGTCACGTTCCTCACCTGCCCGCTGTGCTCGCCCCGCGCTCGCCTTTCCGAAGGGCGGGACGCCACTCCCTGGAGCCACCCCGGAGCCCGGTTCTTCCCGCGGAATTTGAGTAACAATTCCTGAGTGTGCCTGCACTACTGCCCTCCCTGCCGCTGTGGTGTAGCCCCCTTAGCGATCCGTTCACCTCCGGAAGGGACCGGAGGTGATAGAGAAGATAAATGTACCTCTCAATTACGATTCAGATAAAGCTGGAAGTTAAGGGCGGGTGCCCCGAGCCTGCGCTTTTTCCTGTTTGCTGAACCAGGCATAGCTTGGAGACATTGCAGGTTCTGTTCGAGACCACGGCAATGAAGTGTGTCCTCGTCTTTTTGTTGGCGGAGGGTCTTGCCTTCAGTTTGCAAAAAAATGTAAAATGGGGGTATGCCTAGATTGGAAACAGCGGTGGAAAGCTATAGCCACATTGCTATCCGGGTTTGCTCCTCAGCCCTTAGGGCAAAAATCCCTGAAAGTAAAAATTACCCATGAAAATGCCCTAACTCAGTGGTTCTCAACCTTCCTAATGCCGTGACCCTTTAATACAGTTCCTCATGTTGTGGTGAACCCCAATTTCATTGTTACAAATTGAACATAATTAAAGCATAGTGATTAATCACAAAAACAATATGTAATAATATATGTGTTTTCCCATGGTCTTAAGCTACCCCTGTGAAAGGGTCGTTCGACCCCCAAAGGGGTCGCGACCCACAGGTTGAGAACCGCTGCCCTAACTGATCCACAGAATACATGCTGTTAAGTGTAAATTTTAGATCTTTAATTCTTGTGCACTATTGAATGTGAGATCTCATAGCTAGTTTAAATGTTTGAAAGGAGAGTTTGTGTGTAGATATCAGGGCGTTTTAACAATCCTGATAAATCCTTAGAGCAACTCAGTCTTCATCTTGATCATTCAACAGTGTTTGACACAGTTAAGCACATCCTTGTTCTTGAAACATTTTTTTTTCCATTTGACTTTTGTGAAATCGCAGTGCTCTTTTGATTCTCCTTTGCTGGATTCTTCCTGATTTCTAAATGTTAGTGTGGCCCAGATCACTTCCCCTCTTTATCCGACCTCCTTCCCCAGGTGATCTCGTCCCTTCTCTTCATTGTCTTCATATGGCATCACTATGCTGATGGCTTCTAAATATCCACAGCCAGCTCTGCCTTCATGGAGTTCTGTATTCATATATCTAACTTCTTGTTCAACATACCTACTAGGGTATTTAACATGCAATTAAAACTCCATATTTTCTACCTCCAAAACTTGTTCTGTTGCACATCTTCCCATGTCAGTAAATGACACATTGATTCTTACAATTGTTCAGGTCATCTTTGAATTCTCTTTCTCTGACAATCCACATCCAGTCTCTCAGCAAAATCCAAAATTGCTCTCTTTTCAAAAGGTAGTCCTCACTGGATGCTGTAGTAGTCTCTTGTTCTACAGGCTACTATTCTTGCCTCCCTATAGTCTAGACTCCTACTGTCAGCTGTAGAAATCCTTTTAAAATGCAAATCAGAATTTGTTCCTTTCCTCTTCAAAACCTTTAAGAGCTTCCTACTTAAAATAGAATAGGGAATTGTTTCCATAAATCTACAACATCTGACCCCAGTCCACCCCATGCCTCCACTAAAAATGAGGGTGGTAAGAGATTTGGGGTAGAGGATGGGGAGCAGAGAAAACTTGTCCAATAACCTTGGATTGGGGAAAACAGGAGTCCCAAAAGTGATTGACAACTCTCTTGAGTGGAAATATTTAAAGGCAAGACACTGACTAGGGTACCTGTGATGACAGAGTAAAAAGATAAGAACAGTCAAGTTTTCCCAACAGCATGTAGACATGTTAGCAAATGGTTGTATGTATTAGTTTTCTATGGCTTTCATAGGCAGTATAGTGAGTCCTCACTTAACATCCATTGATAGGATCTTGGAAACTATAACTTCAAGCAAAGCAAGGTATAATGAAACGAATTTTACCATAGACTAATTGATATAAATGAGATAAGTTCTTATAGTATACTTCTGATCACAAAAACATCACCAAACTTCTAAATAAAGATGCAAACACTTCCAATAGTCCACATTGAAATAAATGTGAATGAGCTATACATACACTTAAGAAAGACTAATAAAAACAAATGAAATAATTATTTTCTAACCTGCTCAGTGTTGTGGGCAGCCAGAGCCTATCGCATCAGCTCAGGGAACAAGGCAGGAACCAACCCTGGGCAGAACGGCAGTCCTTTGCAGAGCTCACTCACACACACTCACCCCACTCTCACTCACACTGGGATAATTTAGACTTGCCAATTAACTTACTGTGTACATCTGTGGGACCAAACCAGAGTACCTAGAGAACACCCGTGAAGGCATGGGGAAAATTAGCTAACTCCTCATAGACAGTGACCCCAGCCAGGAATCATTTTTTCCCCTCACCAATGTTATAATGAAATGATGTTGAATAAAACAATGTTATTCAAGGACCTTCTGTATCTCAAATTAGGTGGCTAAAACAACAAAAATTGTCTCACAATTCTGGGGATTAGAAATCAAAATCAAATTGAGGTACAGGGTTGTTTCCTTCTGAGGACTGTGAGGAAGAACTTGTTCCGTGCCTCCCTTCTAGTTTCTAGTGGTTTGAAAGCATCTTTCATGCCCCTTGACTTGTAGATGCATCACCCAAATGTCTGCCTTCATCTTCAGATGGCATTCTCCCTACGTTCTGGCTCTGTGTCCAAATTTCTCCTTTTTATAGAGATAACAATCATTTTTGGAGGGGCCACCCTTATGAGTTAATTTAGCTAATTTTAACTTGATTAATGTTCTAATTATCAAATAAGGTTACATGCCTACATACTGCGATGAGGACTTCAATATATCTTTTTGGAAGAGGGGCATAATTCAACCGGTGTCACTAGGGTAGAATTGTTTTGAAAGGAGAGAAGCAACTCCAGTAGAAAGAAGGGAGAAGCATACCAACCAGAAGAACCAGGTTTTTTAAGCCACCAAAAGATGGGCCACATGGAAATTTTTAGGTGCTCGGTGGAGCATGCATCTCATGTATCAGGGAATGGCAATATTGAAGTTCCTGGATTTGGGTGAATCTCCAAAAATGTATCAAAGGACAGAAAGCACCAGCATTTGGACATTTGCTACAGAAGGGACAACGACCTCAATTTACAAAAGCCTTTTCTTCGCACACCTAAACTGACCCCGAAGGAGCTCAAAGTAAAACTAGTGTGGGACATAGACAAGTAAAAGGGGGAGGAACTAGGACAAGATAGATCATACCCTCTTCCTTTCAACCATATTTGTGGGTGACTCAGGCCTAGAAGATGTTTTAAAGTGATTTAGAGGTTTCCAGTTCAACATGTAAAGAGTTTAGAACTTGAAAATCAGTCACTCCCATCCTGACAATAAGAAAAAGCTATACAAACAGAAAGTCAACAACTCTTCTAAGATCAGTCTGAGAATTGTCACAGGGCAAACTGCTGTTCCCCCAAACTGTAGAGACAGGTGGATAAAGAGAAGCACAGCTTACTGGGAGCAGAAGCCAGCAGTGGGAGCCAGTATGGGTAGGAACACTTTAAAACTGTAATTAATGAATTGTTAGGCTAGATTGAGAGTTAAAAACTCCAAGTAATCACAGTTGTGTGAAGGAAGGTGGAGAGTGGCACCCACACTTTCGTAAGTTTTGCCTCCAGGAGCTCTGCCAGGTTCTTAAAATGAAGATAGCAAAATCTCCTGACAGTGGGAGAGGAAAAGTGATCTTTATGAAATATTCCCAGAGCTCTCTGTTTTCCATAACAACGCCTGCCTTATAAGGGAAACTAATTTACCAGAGCCTACCCAACTGGGGATTTACCAATCTAGAAAATGGATATACTCAACATCAGCCTTTTCTAGCCTTCCAAGTAAAGGAAAAGTAGACAACATTCATGAACAGAAAGGTACAGTAAACAGAGCGATGAAAACACTAAGAAAGAATCAAAAGGAAATATTAGAAATCAAAAACACTATAACAGAAATGAAAAGTATAAGTGACTGAACACAAACAAGAAAAGAGTCTAGGTTGAGGATATGTCAACAGAAACTTCCAAAACATAAATGCAAAGAGAAGAAAAGAATGAAAGAGATGGACTAGACTATCCAAGAACTGTGGGAAAATTAAACAAGGTGTAACATATGCTTAATGGGAATAACAGAAGGAGAAGAAAGAGAGAAAGGAACAAAAGGACTATTTGAAATAACAATGACTGAGAATGTTTCCAAAATTAATGACCCACAAACCCACAGATCCAGGAAACTCAGGGAATTTCAAAAATGATAAATACTAAAAACAAACAAACTGTACGTGGGCATATATATTCAAAGAGGAGAAAATCTTGAAAGAAGCCAAAGGTCGAACAAACAAACAAACAAACAAACAAACAAAAAAACAGCCTTGCCTGGAAAGAAAAAGGATAAGAATTACATTGGACTCCTTTTGAGAAACAATACAAGAAGAGAGTAGAATGAGATATTTAAAGTGTTGGGAAAAAACAACAACCTAGAATTCTGTATACAGTGAAATTATTCTTCAAAAGTAGAAAAGAAATAATAGCTCTCCACAAGAAAAAATTGAGGAAAATTGTTACCAGTAGACCAGCTGGTGAAATAAAATCTTTTATTTTCCTTAATTTTATTGATCTAACAGATAACACTGTTTAAAATAATATCAACATTGTTTTCTGTGATGATAGCTAATGGATAAGTAAAACGAATGACAGCAATGTTATAAGGGACAGGAGGGAGGAATTGGAAATAATCTGTATTTTTACTACCCATGAAATGGTATTATTTAAAAGTAGACTTAAATAAATTG